TTATGAATTGTTGTGGCTTTTAACATAAAACGGTAGAAAGTAGCCTATGTCGTCCCGAGATTCCATGCTACTTTATCACCAATTTTCAGCCAAATCGGTGCAGCCATGCTTGAGTTATAAATATACTCGTGGACATAAATTGCGCAATTGAGGGTTATTTTGCAAAAAAAAGGGCACCGTTGGGACCAGAGGACTAAAGGAATACCCGTGCAAATTTTCACGTCTTTCCGTTCGATGGGCGTAATACGCAGACTTACAAAAAAGGCCTTCTCGGTTTAGTTCTGCAGCACGGATTATTTTCTTCAGAAGTAAGTTGCAGAAATCACACGAAAGAGAATCGCCTTATCTAAATATCGTTTGGTATCGAACGGCTGGGAGACGTCTGGGGCTTTGCCCGATACATGCAGCATAAAGTCACCTTAAATTTCGAAAATATTTATATTTTGTATAGGGAGGATCAGGGAAGAATTGACCCTATTTAACCCATTTTCGATACATAAAATAAGTTTTGTCAAGAAAATATTTTCCGTCAAAAGTCAACTATAGAGACTGGGGTTCACATATTCGATAACTTTAACAGTTTCGGTTGGATTTGGTCATAAGGTGGCGTGCTTTGAAAAAATTTATTGTGCAAAATTTTTATCCCGTTAAGTTAATTACTTCCTGATTTGTACACTGGAAAGTGAAGGAATGAAATAGAGTTTAAAATTGGGATAAATGCAAAGTAGGCGTGGTTGAAGTCCGATCACGCTAAGTTTCAATGTGGCATAACAATATGAGAAGAATGTGAAGTACTAAATTTAGTCGAAATCGGATCAGAGATATTTCATCAATAAGTGTTGGTGCCATGCCCATCGCCCAATTTTCATTCCGTCTACTTAGAGCCTTTTCATACCAATTAGAAAGTACATTTTAACGTCTCTGGCGTTATAAGTTTTTGATTTATCGCGCTTTTAGTAGTTTTTAACCGTACCGTTTTACGGGGAGTGAGCCGAGTTATCATCCGACAGGTACAGAAGATTGTATATTTTCAGTTTAGTTCTGCAGTTCGAAATACGTCGCTCTCGCACGGTACACGAAAAATGCAAATATAATTTCTATTTAAATTAAAATGATTTTTTTACAATTTTTTTGCTAAGAATGAATGCAGAAGGTGCGTCAATACACAAAGCCATACACGATAGTCATTTACAACAAATTTACGAAACAGCCGTTCATATATCACTAGCTTCTGCAGTGAGTGCTCTCGTGCTCTTGTATATTTCGGTATAGGATATCTGCAATATGCAATCTTGCAAGAGCAAGAGAATTTTTCTCTCTCTTACTTACTTAACAGTGTTAGCAAACAGCTGGAAATGTTCCAATGTGTTTGTGCAATCTGCTAGCTCTGTCTTTAAGGGGATACAGAAAAAGTCCAGCACCTTTGCATAATGGTTGTAATAATTTGTAAATATAGTGGAGTTAGTTGTTGGATAATGACGGTGATAGAAGGTAAAGAGAAAAGGCCAAATTGTTGGATAGATCATTATAAAAGTGGATTGATTCCCCGAAAAATTTGAATTATAATTATAAATTATATACTTATAGAAAGTATTATAATTATAAAAGTTACTAAAATAATAAATTCCAGCGAAAACACGTAAACGTGATTAGTATATTCTTAAAGAAGGATGTGCACCCCTAGTTCGGGGGATGCTATTGCTATTCTAAAATGTACCGTGTTTTGGGCTCCTCGTAAATCAACCTGCGTTGCGTGTGTATTACACATATTTACTAATTTCATTGAAATATTTATGTGTTGAACCTTTAAATCTTATATTTCTTTCTTTTACCATTTCCTTCAAAAACTTTTCTGTACCAAATAAAAAAGCTTGTCCAAAATAATGTTCTTCACACAGTGAACACGTGCGACAGGCAAGCTGAACATTTCTTGGAATTTATTTCTTATGTAGCACCTGTATATATTTCTTTGTATTTCAATAATAAGTTATTCGCACTTTTTTCTCAATTTTATTTTTATATTTATCACTTTCGTTTGCCAAACTGCGAATCCATTTTTTATAAGATATTTATTGATCTGATACGAAGTCTTTATTAAGGGGGAGCCGACTTCAGAAGCTTCATTTGTGGAACACAATGCTAGCGACAGACTGCAGCAGCACGACAGTGAACCGAAAACGGCATTGTGAATCCTACTACAAGAACGTTTGTGAGAGGGCAGCAACATAACAATGGCCGGCATGTACACAAAACTACTCACTTGTCCATTTTGCATGTACAAAATTTCGTTGTGGCCATACTAATACCTTGCACTTCAATGACATTTTAATAGTTTGTTCAAAGTGAAATTTTTTATGCAAAATATAAGTAAATAGGTAAATTTATTCGTTTCAAATTACCGATTGTTATTACAAATGATGTAACAGAGCTATTTTATGCTATTATTTGTAAAATAACATCAAGTTTGTTGGAGCTGTGAATAATTTTACATTTTACATATTAGTGGCATCACCACTTTACCTCATCTCTCTATCTTCCATTCTACTGTCAACTCTACTGTCGTCCTACTGTCGTTGGCAAATATAGAATCAAATTGAAGTAAGCGAGCACGACAACTGTCCGCCTGCCGTTGTGTAGTCATACAGCTATCAAAATAGGTCCGTCCATAAGAACGTGTGTATTTTAATATTTGACAGATGTCGTTTGCAGTCTGTCGCGAGCATTGTATTCCACACATGAACTGAAAATGGGGTTGTGAATCCTACTACAAGAACGTTTGTGAGAGGGCAGCAACATAACAATGGCCTTCATGTACACAAAACAACTCAGTTGTCCATTTTGCATGTACACAATTTCGTTGTGGTCATACTAATATTTTGCACTTCAATGAAATTTTAATATTTTGTTCAAAGTGAAATTTTTAAGCAAAAAATAAGTAAATTGGTAAATTTATTTGTTTTAAATTATCAATTGTTATTATAGATGATGTAACAGAGCCATGTTATGCTTTTATTTGTACAATAACGTCAGGTCTGTTTGAGCTTTGAGTAATTTTACGTTTTACATATTAGTGGCATCACCACTCTACCTCATCTCTCTATCTTCCATTATACTGTCAACTCTACTGTCGTCCTACTGTCGTTGGCAAATATAGGATAAAATTGAAGTTAGCGAGAACGACAACTGTCGGCCTGCAGTTGTGTAGTCGTGCAGCTGTCAAAATAGGTCCGTCGTTAAGAACGTGTGTATTTTAATATTTGACAGATGTCGTTTGCAGTCTGTCGCGAGCATTGTATTCAACACATCAAGCAATCAATTTTTTTTTTTTTTTTTTTAAATCTCTTTAAACATTATCTAACGGGAAATCTCGACAGGATAGCATTTATAGAATACTATATGCATTGCCGTGCCGATTGCCTGTGGCGACTCCACATTGCTCATAGCTTACTAGATATAGAATACTATTTAGTTTGCCATATATCGTAAGCTATGAGTTGTCACTTCAACCGTTTGGGAGCTCAGTTTTCATTTCTTTGAAAATTTCGTAGAGGCAACAAATCCCATTTGCACATATGCCGCCGGCATTTTCATTTCCGTAATATGAAATTTAGAAGAGCGAGTATTAAGACGGTTGTGTTATATTATAAAACTAAAATACATTTTCAAAATAACATTTTCCAAAAAATTAATATTGTTAATTTAGAAAAAAGTTATGCAAATAGTTTTGGGAATGAGCGAAGTCTTAAATTTAATTAACTTATAAAACCATAAATCCAAATATCATTGTTCGTTTCAAATATATTTTTTAATTGGTATATTAAATTTGTGCCATAATTATTTGTCCAAAAATATGAATTCTTACTTTTCCCAGAAATACATATGTAAACAAAAGGATCTTTATCCTTTTATATATTCCCCATAAAACATTTAAGGAGTTCAAGAGCACAAAACGTGCGCTATATCAGCTACCTATCCGACGGCATATCGCAATGGCAATAGCAATACATTTGACAGTTAGTACTCTATAAATTCTATCCTGTCGAGATGCCCCGTAAGAATATGTCCCAAAAGTTATAGATGGAATTTGAAATATTATTGAAGATAGAAAGGAAATAGTGACCGAGCGTCTAGCAGATATATAAGCGCCTGGTCAAAAAGTAAAAACTTTGAAGCGCGATTTATCGGTTTTTCATTTTTACGATTATTTTTAATTGGCGGGTAGGATAGAAAAAGAAACTAAACGTCGTATGGAATTGGGGCAAAGTTTATTATCTTTGGCATAAAATCATCTTCTATTTAAACTAAAAACAGACGAAGAAAAATCAGTTTGAATATATTTTTAAAAAATATAAGGTAAAATTTTTTTTTTTGTCAAAAGTCACTTTTTTCAATTTTTTTCTAGAATTTTCTTAGTTTAACCAGAAGGTAAATTTTTCCAAAAAAAAATATGAAGAAATTCTTTGCTTCCGATAGAAATTCCGACCTGCTTGCTGCCCGCCCTCCGAAAAATTCAAATGCGAGGTGCATCCGGCAACTTCTTCCCAAAAGCAGATTATCAAAGATTTCGCATCCAAACAATTTGTGAAAGGTGTTAAGATATATAACAATAGAGCCTAGAAATTTAAATTAATTATTTCTTTCCCTCCTAAAAAATCGATTTTTTTTTAAGCCTCTAAAACAGGTCATTGTTCGTCCGCAATTTTCACAGTTCGGCGACACGAGAGAAATGAGATTTTGTGTGCACACAGCGCCATACAGGACACACATGTGTTCACACCGATCATAAAAAATCAAGCATTTTCGCGAACATAGATCGGTTCGCACACAAACTCATACATGAGTAAATCGCAGTCGCACATATATCGACGGAACTTTAATAATTGCGTTGGTTGAAAGGTAATAATTAAAGTAGTGGATCCGGATGCAACTTATAAAACTTGCCATTATAATGCATATTTCGTGCTAACGCATGGTAAATAGAAAATATGTTCTAGTTATTTGAACAGTCTGTGTACTAAAAACTAGTGAAGTGAATCTTCGTTTCTGCATTTACTGAATAAATTAGGTAGTATTCATTGAAGTTATAAACGCTGTTTAGACACGAAATTTCTAAATACTTATTGGTATAAATGACAGCTGGCCAATTCGCTTGTTGTCCGTTCTATAGTAACAAAAGTTATTTTTAGGTGTTACTTGCGGTGAAAAGTAACTACTACTAATATATAAATTTATAGATTTGTTGTTAGTGTTTTATATAGTTTTTATAAAATTGGTTGGGATTTGGAATAGCATACCCCGATGTGGGGGTTAATATGGGTATATACGGATAGAAAACCTCCAGATCAAGAAAATATATACATACATATGTAGGTATGTATAGTTGCCGCCGACTTATGAGTTTTGAGATATTTGCATATAAAGTTCAAAAAGTCAACGGGTTAATTTTACGGATAGAGGAGGTCCTCCAGATCAAGAACATATATACAGTGATGTACAAAAGTATTGGCACAGCAAGATATCTTGACTTTAGCACTATTTTTTACCATTTATAAACTAAGTTTTGAACACCAAAAAAAAGTCCTTAGTTAGGACGAGTAATTATCAATTATATTTTCTTTAATTCATTTAATTATCTCTTACATTTAATTATAAAAGGAAAAAAAGTGCTAACTATAGGGAAACAAAAGTATTGGCACACTCCATAAAAATACAAAAAAAAAAAACAATAATAAAGTAGTAAACTATATATAAAATTCATATTTTGTGGCAAAGCCCTTTTGCTTGATGACTGCTTCCAGCCGGTTTGGTATTGATGATACCAATTTTTGTGTCGTTTCTGTGCCACGACAGTCGGGTCTACAAAAACCGGAACGGACCCGGATTTTTATCCGGCCACGGTTGAACAACCTAGCTGCAAAGAACCAGGTGCACCTAATCTGGGTGCCCGGCCACAGGGGTATAGCAGGCAACTAACTGGCTGACGAGCTCGCCCGCTCCGCAGCCTCCACCAGTATGGTTGGGCCCGAACCGTTCATTGCGGTGGGTCCCCGCACTGTGAAGGAGCTGCTCCGCTGTACACTGTCCCAAAACTCCCTAGGCTTGCTTATGTACTCCTTCGCATAAGTTAATCACTTCGTTTGGTTCGCTTTCGAAATGAGAGGTTTACGTCTAGATAGGCGAGAACTGTAATTAGCTTCATGCAGTGTCCTCCGGACCGTTATTGGATGAATATCTTTTCCCATCTCTTTAACTTCCGCTGCGATTTGTGTGGATGATATTCTGGGGTTCTTTTTTTTACCTTCTGCCTGTTCGTTTTTCGCTTTGTAAATATGCGGTATCTTTAAAACATTGAATAATACTCCGTATGGTAATCGGCTTCTGTCCATCATTTCACCAATCTCTACATACGATTTACTCTGATTATGCAAATATTATATAATTTTCCGCTGAGATTCGTTGGCTTCACATTTTTTGTTCCCCATTTTAATAAATTAAAAGCAAATTTAACTATTAAATAAAGGCACACTGAAATTTAAAGTTTGGTTCTTTCCAAAAACACATTTGCTTATGTATAAATAACGGTACTTTAAAAAAGAGTTGCCATCATTAATAAAAATTACTCGAAGTTGCCTGATTTTATAGGGTGTGACAGTACTTTTGGTTCGGTATAATAGCACTTTTTTCTTTTATAATTACTATTAAATAAATATAAGAGTTAATTAAATGAATTAAGACAAATATAATTGATAATTACTCGTCCTATCTAAAGATTTTTTTTGTAATCAAAACATATTTTATAAGTAGTAAAAAACAATGCTAAATCTTGCTGTGCCAATACTTTTGCTCGTCACTGTACATGTAGTTGCCGCTGACTTATGGTTTTTGAGATATTTGCATTTAAAGTTCAAAAATTCAGCTATTTAAAACGCATGTTTCTCCGATATATAATTATTTTTACACTGATATTTTGAACTTTTTTATCCACTAAATATGTTAAATAGTGCAAAAATTACTTTCAAGACGGACGTGCTGGCTAGTTTCTACTGTATCTTCTTCCAAGCAGCTTCTACATGCGGCGTCCGGTATAATTCCCAGCCTTACCGCATGCATCACTAACGAGAGACCGGCTTTACTGAGAACACAAGAGGACACAGGAGCACCGACGGGTTCAAATTCTACCGATAGTGACTCGAGGGTACCTTTCCTTGCCAACCCATCAGCTTTGCAGTTACCTGCGATTCCGCTGTGGCCCGGCACCGCGACCAACCCTGAACGCACATTGAATGAGTTCTGGGCTGGTATCGCCGCTCTGCCATCTGAGTGAATGGTCACTTCTCTGAAGGTAGACACTCTCCGGAGCAGCAAATCTACTGCCACCTTGATGGCGGCGACTTCCGTCTGGAAGACACTGCAATAGTCGGGAAGTCTGAAGCTGGATTTAGTGGAGAGCTCCCGACAGTAGACCCCTCCACCAACCTTCCCCCCCCAAGCTTTGACCCATCCGTGAAGAAGCTTATGTTCCCTCTCCTCCAACGGCTTCTTCCCTCCCAAACCTCCCTCGTCGGTATATGGGCAGTGAAGGAACCGCCGAAGTTCGATATGGCGACTCCATGATCTAGATGATCCGGTATGCAGTCAAAGCTTGTGAGGATATCCGAGTGTTTCGATATACGTGCTGATTGCTGTTGCATCCAGGTTAAGAAGGGGTTTGAGTGTGTCAATGCTGCGGACCGATGGGATTTCCGACGATGATGTGGAGAGGGGGGGATATCTAGGGAGCAAGTGGCTCCTAGATGATAGGGTTAGGCGTAGGTGGCAACAACGTTGGGACAATAGTCCTAACGGCCGATTGACGTACGAGTACATTCGGGACGTTGGGTTCGTTGAGGATAACTCAGACTTCAGATTTTGTCTGAGTCTGGGTTTCCTCCTTACGGGGCATGGGCCTCTGAATGCATTTTTGCATCAGAGGCACCTATCAGATACGTCGGGGTGTTTTTGTGGGGCGGGGTTGGAAAATTGGTCGCATTTAATTGCGGAGTGCCCGATGTACTCGGACATTAGGGATCTGGGTGGTATGGGAATTAGCTTGACGGATGGACGATTAGATGTTAGTGGTGTGATCTCCACTAGTCGGAATACCGAACAGTTAGGGTTGTTTGCGCGTGAATTATTTAAGCGGCGAAGGCGGTTAGTTGGAAACTAGGGTTAGATTTGTATGATTGGTGTGTGTATGTGATGTATGCATGGGGTCCAACCCCTGGCCACCAGTCCAGAGCAGTATGGAAGCTCAACTGGTAGTAGTTTCGGCTACGAGGTCTGACCGGAGACTTAATTCTGGTACCACGGRGAGCAGGAGCCCTTGGAGGTAACTCCAACCTGCTCATGCGGACTGGCCCCTCGGGCAGTATCGTGGTGGTTGTGGTTAAAACCCAAATGCGGGAAGAACTGACTTTGTCGGTTGAATGTGGAGTTGCATTGCAACCGGGTGCCGGACCCAAAGCACGGCAGAGGTTTTAGATGGGCCTCGAACCCGACCAAGGTGGTTAGTGTGTCCATTCCACACTGCCAATTGGTACTGAAAATGCTTGGCATTCTCAGGACGCTGATCAACGCATTGATTTGATCCGCTGTACTTTTGAGTGCCGTGGAGTAAGGCTGTCGTCAGCAGGTACCCACGTTAAACACACCGCCGTTATTCCGATATACGCTCCGTTAGGAACCCAGATTCACTGAGCCTGATAGCTACTTTTGCGGCCACACACCTTCCGGCAATGTCCACCGGCGTTATGTTCAGAATTGCATTGAGTGCAATGGTTGGGGTAGTCCTTAATGCACCACACATGCTGATGAGCGCGGCCCGCTGAACGCTCTCAAGTTTCTTAGCAAGTGTGGTCTTCTGTAAAGCCCTCAACCACATAAAGACCCCATAGAATATTATGGGCTTGACTATGGTGTCATAGAGCCAGAGTACCACCTTCGGCGAGAGGCCCCACCTCTTGCCAATAGCTCCTCTACAGCAGTAAGGGCAATCGATGCCTTCCTGACTCTTTCCTCGATATTCGGCTTCCATGAAAGTTTCTTATCCAGGATGAGCCCTAGATACTTCACAGTATCCGCCGGTTGCAGGCGAACACCTCCCATTTGCGGGAAAGGTGCCACAGGGATTTTGTATCTTCTACTAAATAAAACCATTTCTCTTTTATTTGAGTTGATGGCGAATCCACTTCCGACCGCCCATTTTTTTACCACACTGAGATATCCCTGCGTTAACTCATACACGGTGCTAAGAAACTTTCCTTTCACCATAAGTGCTACATCGTCTGCATAGGCAGTCACCCGGCAGCCAAAATCCTCAGGCTTTTTGAGGAGGTCGTTAACGACTAGGATCCATAAAATAGGAAAAAGAAGGCCCCCTGAGGGGTTCCCCTGCTCACGTTCCGCCGCGCGTTTGCGCTGCCCCACTCTGTTTCGACCACCCTGTCGCACCGAAGACTGAAAATCATGTGCTTGAGGTTCGATTCCACCCCAAGGCCGTCTAAAGCAGTTACGACTGCCTACGGCATTACATTGTTGAAAGCTCCCTCAATATCAAGGAAGGTCCCAGCAGCGAAGTCCTTAGCCTAAATTGCTTCCTCAAGCCACGACACGATAGTGTGCAGGGCAGTGTCCACTGACCTTGCTTTACGATACGCATGTTGGGCTCCTGATAGATAGTCTCTCGGAATGCGTCTTCTTAGATACCAGTCCAGCAGTCTCTCCAAAGTTTTTAGTAAAAAGGAGGAGAGACTGATGAGCGTGAAATCATTTTCCGTGATGTGGGAGCTCCTGCCAGCCTTCGGGATAAACGTAACTCTGACTCGTCTCCAAGTCCCCGGGATGTAACCAAATCTGATGCAGTTCGCATAGATTGGTGCCAGCCAGCCGCATGATACCTTAACACCCTGCTGCAGCTGCGCTGGTATAATGCCATCCACATTTATACACTACTAGCGGGGCCCGGTGTGCGTTGCTACACCCATGCAACAATATAATGGAAACTTCTAGCATTTCTATTTTAATGTG